CTGCTGCCCCAGAACCCTATCCACTGCCACAGCACCCACCAGCACCCTGCCCCAGCATCTTGTCCCCTGCCTCCACCAGCAAAGTTGGGGCCACATTAGTGAGGCTTGGGTTTTTTTTGGAGGGGTTGTTTTTTTGCATCTCTCTTGTGTGGCCCCGACTGACTTTTCTGTGAGTCAGTGACTTCTGACTCAAAACAGGTTCCCTGCCCCTCTTATAAATAAAGACAATGCTGAAACCTTTTGTGTTTGACGTAATATTTTATTTAAAAATTAAGCCTGGCCAACAAGCCCCCAATTGGGGCCAAGCCCCCATCTAGACGCTTCATCATAATGCTGCACGTCCACCCCAGACCTCAAATATGAGCCTATCATACTCTGGTACTCCCTGTCCTGAGCCTCTTACATCCCCAGATGCCTGCACCCCCACGTCCACAGTCTTCTGCCACAACACTCCTGCACCATCCACATGCCACAAATCTGTTTCCTGAGCCCTTCATACTCCCAACCTCCCTGCCCTGAGCCCCTCAAACACCCCAACCCAAACTCCTGCACTCCCACATCCACAAACCTGTGGCTTGCTCAGCACCCCAATCCTCCCGTTGACCCCAACACTTCCCAGCCTGGAGCCCCCACCCTGAGCCAACATCCTCTTCTCCACCTCCTCCTGCATCCAAATGTCCTCCCAGAGCCTGTTCCTCTCCCCCCTTCCCGCACCCAAATCCCTCATTCCCACCCCAGAGCCTGCAGGCTCCTGAAGGTGTTTGAGAGGAAGGCTCTACATGTGGTCCCAGAGCCTGAGAGAAGCAGCCACCAGCTTCCCCAGGAGCAGAGTGTGGCTCCTCCACCCCCACGGGAGGGGAAGCAGCTCCCAGCCAGGCCAGGAGGTGGAAAAGCCTAGACTTCTGGCCAAGGAAGCCCATTCCCGGCACAAGTGCTGAGGTGGGAGAGGCATCAACCAGGCCCAGATGGACCTGGTCCAGAGGGGAACTGGACAGGATGCCTCTGGGGCCTCCTGTGCAGAGGGAAACACCTGCCTCAAGAACCCAGCCTCCATTTCCATCAGGAGGCATGGTCCCTGAAGACCTTCTGGCTTCCCCAGGCCCAGGAGCTGGAGGGTCCCTGTCCCAGCTCCAGCAGCTAGTTCTGCTCCCCCTGGGAGAGCAGCAGTGCCTGGGACTCTGGCAGCAGCTAGGCTGGTACCTCCAGCTGCTTTATTGCAGTTGAGGAGCTGGGTAGGGTTGAGAGAGGAGAGGGGAGGGGAAAGGGCTGTGAACAACCTGGGCCCCGGGGGCCTCTCAGTGTTCTGGGGGGTGGGTCCCCAGCCCCAGTGTTTGGCCAGAGCTTCGCGAACCTCACTGACACCTGCTGTCATCACACAGCTGACCTGCAGCCAGTGGAAATAATGGGATGGGGTGGGAGGGTAGTGGGAGCTGCTGCTACTTCACTTCCTTTTGCTCTGGGGAAGCCAGCATCTCCCAGGGAGTCCCTGATGGGGCGGGAGGGGGGAGGTTCTCTGCTAGGGGCCGTTGAAGTTGTTGAGGGCTGAAGATGCATCTCTGAGAACGGGAGCGTGGGGCCCGATCTGCCCTGGGTCCCTGAGGTGGGAAGTGGGGACATTAACCCTGCTGGCAGCTAGAGTCATCCTGTCTCCTTCCTTCCCCAGCACAGAGTCTCTCAGGGACTTTCAGGAACGGGACAAGTGGGTGGACGAGGACACCGAGGAGGCTATTCTGCAGGATATCCAAGAGCAGCTCCATGACAGAGAAATGGTACGTTCTTCCGCTGGGTGGGAACTGAGATTGTCCAGCCCCTTCCCAGCATCCCATTCCCTGCTGAGAGTCTTGTCCCTGAGGATACCCAGCCATAGGGATCTTTCTCCTCCATTATCTCGCCCCCCCCCAAGATATTTGTCACACACCAGCTAGGGTCTCCACCCCCCACAGGCCTGTCTCAGGCCTGCTGGTGTAGTAGTGTGTGTGTCGGGAGGCGGGGACTTGGACTGTGGGCAGTTCCCCACTACCATCCATGGAGGCCTGAGCCCTGCAGCAGGTGTGGGTGGGGCAGGCAGGTCCCTGGCTGAACATGAAGGTGGCTGGCAGCTGTAGGGAGGACAAGTAGTTTGGGAGTCAGGAGAGGAGAGTTGAGTGAGAACAGGTGCCCAGCACTGCTTAGACATTTGAACCACTGGAAAATGGATGTAGTTTGATACTGAATTAGAAAAGCAGCATTTTACACATCCACTTTTGCACTCACTTTGATTCATAGAACCGTAGAATCCTAGGGCTGGAAGAGACCTCAGGAGGTCATCTAGTCCACCCCCCTGCCCAAAGCTAGACCAATCCCAACTAAATCATCCCAGCCAGGGCTTTGTCAAGCTGGGATTTACAAATCTCTACGGATGGAGATTCCACCACCTCCCGAGGTGACCCATTCCAGTACTTCAATACCCTCCTAGTGAAATAGTTTTTCCTAATATCCAACCTAGACCTCCCCCACTGTAACTATAGACCATTGATCCTTGTTCTGCCATCTGTCACTACTGAGAACAGCCTCTCTCCATCCTCGTTGGAACCTCCCTTCAGGAAGTTGAAGGCTGCTATCAAATCCCCCCTCACTCTTCTCTTCTGCAGACTAAACAAACCCAAATCCCTAAGTCTCTTTTCATAGCTCATGTGCTCCAACCCCCTAATCATTTTGGTTGCCCTCCGCTGGATCCTCTCCAGTGCATCCACATCCTTTCTGTAGTGGGGGTCCAGAACTGGATGCAATACTCCAGATGTGGCCTCACCAGTGCCGCATAAAGGGGAATAATAACTTCTCTAGAGCTGTTGAAAATTCTCCTCCTAATGCACCCTAATATGCCATTAGCCTTCTTGGCTATAAGGGCACACTGTTGACTCATATCCAGCTTCTCATCCACTGTAATCCCCAGGTCCTTTTCTGCTCAACTGCTACTTAGCCAGTCGGACCCCAACCTGTAACAACGCTTGGGATTCTTCTGTCCCAAGTGCAGGACTCTGCACTTGTCCTTGTTGAACCTCATCAGATCTTTTGGCCCAATCTTCTAATTTGTCTAGGTCACTCTGGACCCCTATCCCTGCCCTCCAACGTATCTACCTCTCCCCCTAGCTTAGTGTCATCCGTAAACTTGCTGAGGGTACAATCCATCCCCTCATCCAGGTCATTAATAAAGATCTTCAGAGGGATAGCCAAATTAGTCTGTACAGGATGAACAAAAAACAACAAATAGTCTGGTAGCACTTTAAAGACTAAAAAAACATGTAGATGGTGTCATGAGCTTTCGTGGGTACTTAAGAAGTGGGCTGTGCCCATGAAAGCTCATGATACCATCTACATGTTTTGTTAATCTTTAAAGTGCTATCAGACTATTGTTGTGTAATAAAGATGTTGAACAAAATCAGCCCTAGAACTGATCCCTGGGGCACTCCACTTGAAACCGACCACCAACCAGACATTGAGCCATTGATCACTACCTGTTGGGCTCAACAATTTAGCCAGCTTTCTGTCCACCTTACAGTCCATTTATCCAAGCCATACTTCCTTAACTTTCTGGCAAGAATATTGTGGGAGACCATATCACTGCTGGTATAAATGCACTCTATAAATTGCACTGGTATAGATGATTGTGCAAGGTGGAGGGCAGTGCAAGAACAAATCCCCATACTAGAAGAGCAGCACCTGTTGAACCATCTTGAGATGCACTGGTTTGGCAGAGGTATGTGGTAAATATGAAGGATATTGCAGGTCAGAAGAAATTAACTGTATAAGATGAGTTTCCAGGAACTCCCCATATATGCATTACTTTCTTGAGCATTAAATTGAGTTGCAAATAAAATAAGTCTGAAGGTTGTTTGTTCTGCAATAATGTTATGTAGTAATAGTCACATAACTGAATGTAAACTCATTCACACAAAATTTGGTTTACTTAACCACATTTCCATCCCAAAGGATTTTACTCTCAGGAAAGCACATTTCACATACAGAAGTATTCCCTTTCTGATGCAAGTGATCAGTAAGACAGAGTCATATGTGTTACCATAGCGGCAGGGAGATGACAAATGTGGAACAGAGAGGATCCTTATTCACTCTGATCCCTCTCTTAATGCTCTCAGTACTACAGCATATACTGCCTGCATGCAGCATATTTTTTACTAGGATGAAATTTTACAAACTTACCAATGATATCTGAGGGTCTCACAGCATTATATAATGGCTACTCACTACCCTTATTCCTGTTTACATGTGGAAAACGTAAGGCACAAGAAACTCACTTGCCCAAAGTCACATGGCAAGTCAGTGCCAGAGCTAGCAATGGAACCCAAGAATCCTAACTTCCAGCCCCACCCTGATCTAAGGCACTCGGCCCCAGACCTCCCTTCCAGCTGGGAAAAGAAGCCACCACTCCTGGCTCCTACACCTGTGCCCTGTCCATTGTGCTGCAATGACACCCTCACCCTGGATCTGAGGGACCTTCTTCTCCCCTCTGGGCAGGGCTGGTGGGAGGTTCCGAGAGGGGAACCTGGGAAATTCTGAGAACATACCCAACTCATTGCACACAGGCGAAGGCCCCAGTCGGCGTTCTAATCTGCCCCACCGACCCTAGCAACAACTGCTCCTTCCTGATTAGCCAGCGCTAGGGATTTTTCTGATTGGAGTACACTCATGACGCTAAGCCAATCAGCAGGAGCCACGGGACCCTCTTCACCCCTCTGCTGTGGAAGG